GTTTCATTTTTCATCTAATCATTGTTTCAGATTTCAATAGGTGTTTTTAATTAATTTCAGGACTGGAAATGTTAGAGCGTGTTTGTCAAACAACAATATTCATTATTTTTTAAGAAAGCGTAAACTGTCGTATATCTGAAAAAAAAAAAAAAAAACATTGAACTAGAAAAATAATCAACTGGACCAAAGATTTATTCGATCATGAAAAAACTTTTCAACTACTCCAAGTGCATGCTGTGCAAAGCAAAGATGAGTGTCAGATGACACCTTTGAAGTCAGTAAGTGAATACATGATCACGTATTAATGTTTAAAACCAGTTAAACTTTCTTCGTTACTGTCAGCAGATGTCAGTGTAAAACGTCTGTTAAGATAGTCTTTTAACACTGTTTGTGAATGTTTTCAGAAACAAACAAAATAAAAAACGCATATATTCCCCTTTTTTCCCCTCATTCGCTGACGTTATTCTCTTAAAATTACAGCCTTATTATGTTAATGATATGTGAGCCTACAACAAAGCTATACAACTGTAATAAAATTTAAACCTTGTTTATACCGGTAATTAATCATATTTTGTATATCATGCTAAATGGGTTAACTTTATCTTGTCTTTTTTCTTTTACCTTCTCTAAAGTATACATTTTTTCTAGTTCCTTCCCTTACTTTTTCTCACTGTTTATATCGTGAAAAATGGATGCGCTCAAATAAATGCTTTTTACAATTTTTGTCTGTTTAAATTTAACAACAAACACTAACGTCTATAAAAGTACAAGAAATATTACTTGATTAAACACATCTGATAAGTGCTTAGATTACAGTGAAAAATTATTTATGCTGCAGATTATTGAAATCTAATAAAGAATAAACTTTTTTTGCAGTCTTCATGCAAATATAAATATTTTCATGTAATTTTCACGTTATTTCATCCAATTTTATTGCAGTTTTATTCCACGGTAAAAAATGTATATTTTAATCGCTGTTTATCTTAAAACTTTGTTTAACCCAATTAAACTAGGAAACGGTCTGTACACACTGTACTTCTACGTAGTAGCATCTGACAAATGATTCAACATTTTAGATGCAATAAACTACGTTTTAAAAAGCCTTGCTTATTTCATCATAATTTAGCTGTCACTTGCTAATTCTGAGTATAAAGTATGGTAGAAAGAAAAAAGCAGAAATTATTATGTTGTTACAGTACCTCTCAATAATAACCTAGATTTTTAAAATCGAAATCTATTGGTCTGTACAAATGAAGCGGTTTGAACTAACACAGTGGCTTAGATTGATACAATTGAATAATGCAGAACGCCTTCTTATATTCCAAATTTATAAAATTTATGATCAGTCTGCCTATATAAAAAAAAAATGGGCAAAACGTTTTACAGTTTAGTTGCTTGCTTACAGTTCCTGAAGCCTTACCGTCGCACTTTTATCACGACAAGACTTCAAAAACGATGTTTTTTACTATCCTAGATTTTAGAGTACATCATCTTCTATTGGAGCTAGCAGAATAAGTTGCAAAAGAGGAAGAGGAATGAAAAATTTTTTATAAGCTTTGTACATTCGTTTTTCTCCTTCTTTCTTTTTCCACTGAAAGTTGAAGGGTATCAGTAAAAAGTCATTTATTTGGTCTCAGTCGCATGCAGATGAACTACACTACAAAGAATAAAATTTACTTGAACAAAAACCAATACTAAGATTTTTCATTCAAAAAAACAAAGAATATTTTGATGAATAGTAGTTACATCGTCATTGTCAGATTTCAATTACAGCATATTTTTTTACAAAAACAGATTCATGTCAACATTATCGGCTTTCTAAACGTTCATAAATTCTGATGTTTAATCAGGTCAACTCTTCAGATCGCTCATACAGATAATAACTGCTAAGTAACAAGGAAGTAGAAAGACTTGAAAAAAAAGTTATTCTTGAGTCTGTGACGCAAGCATCGCTTAATGATTCATTATTCAAGCCGCCTTTAACTTTTCAACTACAATTTTTTTTTTTCATCTAGACTTTTTATCAACAGTAATTTCGGTGATGATAATAAAATTTTTTTTTTTTGAAAAACTTACAGCATTGTAATGACTTTTGCTGAAGATTAATCGAAGAAGTAAAAATGAAGATATGCATGAAACATTTAATACACGTAGACAAATGTCTTCTTTTACTCAGACAAAGAGTGCGTTGAAAGAACTGAAAATTACTTCAAGTTTCATTATTTACCTGACAACATTATTAAAATATCTTTCCTGATAAGACTTACAACTTCAGTATGCAAAAGAAAAAAAATAGCAGAAGAAATATTTATTTCTTCCACTCTTTTTTTTTTCTCGAACTTTATTCAATTGATTTTTTTCCTGCTTTTTTCTTTCCATTGATGCATATTCTGGCAAAGTTGTAGACTATAAACCAAGTCACATGACTTGTCACTTCTTTTTACTTACTTTTGCAGTTAACTTTCTAAATAGCAAAAATAGAATGCAAAAAAAGAAAGTGACTTTAACATTTTTTTATCAGCTATTGAGTTACCAAAAACAATAATGATCAGTGATGTCTAAATTGAAATCAAAAAAAAAAAAAACAATTTTTAAAAGAGATTTTTATTTATCACCACTACACTTGAAGTCCTAAAATTAATGTTCTACTAAAGAGATGGTTCTCTAAAC